TTTTCCGAAGTAAATTGAAGAAGCGAGGGAAGAAGTTTGAAATTAGAACTCATAAAAACTCATGAAAAAGTTTGAGAAAAGTCAAACATTAGAAGTAGCGAAAAAGAAAGCTTGAAAATCTGCTGCAGAGACTTGTATGCGACTTCTAAAAAAAAAATCATCCACAAAAAATCAGTTTTCATAAAAATGTTCCTCTCGCAGCAGAACTCCCTTTCTAGTTCTTCCACATTTTGTCATTTTTTATTCGTCATACTAGACCGCAAAAGCACACTTCTTTTAAACCACCAAATGACGCACAATCAGCCAGTCAAAAAATTTGTTTGCAATTGAAGCAGTTTTCGAGGAGAAGTCTCAGTAATTTAGAGCTCTCAAATACTCCCTGATAATCGCTGCTTTCTTGCTTCAAATCAAATTACTGGCCTCTTTTTCTTACTTCTCCAGTACACGGTCAATGCTGAACTATAGATTAATCGAGAGGTGTTGTTCAAGTTGTCTTTTAAATTTGATAATGAAAATCAGTTTCTTTTTTTTTTTAATTGCTCATGCGGGGTTCCCTGAATTTGGCTCGCAAATATGTGAATTTTCCAGCCTTCTTCAGTCCTGATGCCGAGGGTCCGACTGGTGAGGTCTATAACCAAGATTGAAGCAGTTTTTGCAAAACTGTGACACCAGTACTAGTGTGGAAGGCCTCTCAGAAAGGAGCCACCAGCGTAGGCTCCCACTGCTGAAGCTAAACCACACAGTTTAGTTGCGGTGGTGCGCACCTGATTTGACTTACAGAAAGCCGTGGCTAGGTGGTGGCGAGATTGAAGGAGTGGGGCAGTGCAAAGTGGTGTGCAAGATGCTACTTTTTTTTAGACTTTTGAGGGAGAGGAAATAGACTTATTTTCACTGCAGCCCATTCTATTTTTCATTTCTTTACAACACTCTAAACTGTTTGTTTCAGTAAAGTCCAGTACCGAGAGAAATAACCAGGTTTGGGAACTTGAAACACAGCCCCTCAGAGGTTTTACTAAGGGATAGTATATCATGTACCAAACAGTACATTCGGCTACACAGCAGCCTTACCCTACCATTCTTTTTTGACTTTGACCTTTTAACTTTTAGTAACTTGCAAATTTGGCAGTGGGAGCTGTAAGGTGACAACCGATTGTAAAGTAGAAGTCAGTTTTATTTGACGCACTAGTTTTGTCTCCTCGAATATACTAGCTCAGTAGATCTAAGACCCTGAAGCCAATGCTCTACAGATCAAATGCAGGGATCGCTGAAGGCGCCGTCTCCTAGTTTTTCTCAGTTATATAGCACTATAGCGGTATGGTTGTCGTTTAGCTGTTTGGTGCGGTTAGTGGACCATTTTGTCTTATGAAATGGGCCAAGATTTTTGCCCTTCTTGAGGTCAAATAAAGGTAAGTAGGGACAACGTGCTCATTAAATCAGCATTGCTTATTTGAGTGTAGTAACACTGTACGAAAGTTAAGTGATTTGTAAGCAGGTTCTATTAGTTTCAAATTTCAGTAAGAATTAATTGTCTTTTGGCTTTACGCTGAGTGATTATGATCAGCTGTATAAGGGTCAGCGTTTTACACCTGTTCAGAAGGTATGATGGTCAATTCGCACAAAACTGACTATAACTGGAAAGCTAAAATTATGGTGTGATGGGAGCTGTTATAAATATTATGAAGTGAAAATTACTCTTCACGGCCTCAGTTGAAACATCTTAAAAAGGTTCCAAAAAGATAGGAGATAAATTAAGGGAGAGACAGAAAGGAACAAAGGTAATTTTTTCAATTTTTTGTCATTCTGGAGGTTTTTGAGCCAACCAGGTTCAGACTGGAGTTGAGTTGTCAAGCAAAACAGCTAATCTCTGTGTTCAAAGGGCCTGGCAAGATGATTAGGAAACCAGAAAATGGTTGCTGGAGTCCACTGTGAACAGGGTTTAAATATTTTGGAAGGCATGCCTGAAAAAATTTACCTGGAGGACTTATGTTTTTCTCTGAGCACTGTGAAGTTCGTATTTATCAACGATCAAATGGATGCTCGTTTTCAAATATTGTTGAGTTCTTTAGATTGTTCAAAATATTTGCTCAGTCTAATTCGGGATTCTTCCAAAGAGGTTAATAAGTTTAAGATGAGATTTCGCTTCTTGTTAGCTACTTTATATTTAACTGTAACGGTGTATAAAGCTCATGAAGTTTCGGAGTAAAGAAATAAGTTTGAAAATTCTAATACTACACCGTTTATAACACTTAAAAGAGTAAGAAATATGATAAGTTTTTTTTCAAATGTAACTTACCCTTTGCAAGTTAATATTTCTATAGTTTCAAACTTGTTTATTCTTCACCTTCTCTGGTCATTTGCAACTAGTGCTGAACCGGTGAGCAGAGTGTTTAAATAACACGGAAAACAGCCACAAAGGTTACCAATCATTGGGGGCAGTTTTTAAAAAGCTTGTCTTACAAGCGCACAGCATTTGGGGCTCTGTCGAATAGTTTCTGGCATGTCTCGTTAGCAGATTCACTCAGGCGCGGCAGTCGCAGTACTTCTGCTGTGGCTGGCGTTTAGGCGGCGGTTCCGCGTAATCGGCATGCCAGCCGCGTCATATGAATGGTTGTTGCTTAGCTTAGTTGGCTGTTTTCCCGGAGTGGCTGTGCCCCATGATGAGTGTTCTTTTGATTGACTGAGCATTAAGTTAATGTTGTTGTTCAATTCATTTGTCCTAGTTATGCATTTATGCTTCGACAATCGGCAGGTATAGTTCAAACTCACTGTTTTTTGTCGTTAGTTGTCGTAGGAAGTCTTTTTTTATTCCCTAATTTTTTTACTTTTTCTTGTTTTTTTCTCATGGCTCTATACTTTTTCCTCGTCTTTTACATTTCTTTACTTTTCCTTTTTGTTTTTCAAGGACACAATCTTAAAGTTGAGTCTTTCAAATGAGATTTTCCGACCAGGACTAGTGGTTTCGATTTTCAGCGTGGTCTTGCAAGTTGTGTCCTAAACTGACGTTTTCTCCGTTTTTGTCTGACTGAACTGTAAGTCTCATGAACCGTCCGTTTTAATGAGTTGCATTTGGTTTTTTTATGGAATTTATTTTCAATCATTCTTTGAAATGTGTGCTTGAAAAATGCTGAAAAGGTTAGAAAGGCAATGGTTAGAAAGCAAGTAAATTTCCGTTTGGCAAGTGAGATAAAATATAGCCATAGCGGGAGTCTGTCGCTGTTTTGGAAAGGTACTCAATTAAGTCTGAAACAACTGAAGGGAGCCGATGCCTGAGGAACTGAAGGCAGAAGAGAACTTAAATTTTGTGTTCTGGAGTTGTACAAATGAAACTTCAGCCTACAGTAGGGAAGTGGGTTATTAGCGTCTTATGTATGGAGTTTTGTGCATTAACTTCAGGTAAATAAGTAGCGGCATTACCGATCGTTTGAGTGTTATATATCAAATGGAAAAAGCGCACTGCGTTCAGAGGGGATTCTGCGATCGCAGAGCTTGAGGAGCGGTGAAGCAATGGACGTTTTGCGTTGAGAGACAACGTGAACTTTGATCAAATTTGGCGAATTGTTACATTGTTCGTGCAACAAATTGGTCACTGTGTTAAACTTGCTTAAAAAAGACTTGGACAGATTTGGAGTTATGTTCAGTGTAGCCGCCGTTCATCGAACTTTCGTGATGAAATGCGTTTCAAAGATCTGATTGATAAGTGGTCTTGCTTGACAGATTTTAAACTGTGTGGATGAA